GTCACCATCATACGCTTAATTTGCTTAGTAAATATGTGTATGAAAGAAAAGAAATGAAAATTTGAATGGAGGCCAAAGTGTTTAACAATATGTCAGGATGATTTCTATTAATTATCCGGAATACCTCCGGAATACGAAGGGATTGTCCGAACACCTCTGGCCTTCCACTATTTATGTGCGTCAGGCTGACTGGGATTCCGTCCAGGGCTAACTTGCGTCGTACTACATCCTGGATTTGTGTCATCTCTTGAACTTTGAAGGCACGCACATTGGCCGGTGTATTTATCTCCTCAATGGTTGGGAACTCCTGCTCCCAATTGGGGTATATAAGCCCGTGATGGCTTCATCCCAATGCCGATATTGTTACCATATTCTGAGCCTCAAATGATGGATGTCGTACAGGACGGGATATCTCTGCGAGGCGTACATCATTGCCTGCTCGTTAGCAAAGCAGCCATCGGCGACAACGGCAATCAAGTTGTGATCCAGGTTACGGATCTCCAGCATATTTAGCACCTTCGTCATCTCGCGCCGAGGATTTCCATGCTTCCCATCTGCTGGACTCTCAGCGACGCCAGAGTATGATATTTTATTTTTTGCAGCAAGAAAGAAGCAATTTATTTTAGAATTGTGAGTCTAAGAAAACAAATATATATTAAACGAGAAGGGACGTGTGAGACGCTTCTTACGCGTCACAACTTTTATACCCGGCACTCAGGACTACATCTAGATGTAGAAGACATCGCCAACCACTAGATATCGTTCAAATTACAGAACACGTACTAAAAAGCCTACTAAATAAAATGCATCAAAAATATTGGATCAGTTAATCGTTAATTAATTTTCCAATTTATGAGATGTTTAAAACAGCAATAAAATTTGTACTTTTTCCCTGCACATTCTGTGCAATAATGACCGCTAGGTTTCACAGCAGATTTTTCGAGAGTGGCGCCATCTATGAAATTTTCTGGTACGCAACTTTGATGGTCACTCTTTTTCTAATACAGAGCGTTAAAAACCGAGTCTGTCCGTCTTGTTTGTCGGCTAGTTCTCAGAGACTATACGAGCTAGAGCCACCAAATTTTGCATCCAGACTGCTATATGCTCACACTGAAACCAGTGTATTTCAAAAATGAGTCACGCCCCCTTCCGCCCCCGAAAAAGTGCGAAAACCTACCAAATTCCGTAGGGAATGGCCACATCTATCAGATCACCAAATTGGGATCCGATCGGATCATTATTATAGCCACAATGAAGAAATTAATTTCTAGTGGCTAAACCCACCCTGTCCCGCAGCTTTTGTTGTTCTTTTTACATTCTCTCATTCACACTCTGCTTCTGCTTCACTCGGCCCCTGCCTATTTAAAATTTGACAAAACACCGCTGAGGTGCAGATGCACTATTGACCAGTTTTGGTGGCTGTTTACGCCAAATTAGCGCAAAAGGGCTTATGGCCGGGAGCAATTAGTATTTTGTATAAGTAAAATGAATTTGTAGCATTAAGCTTTTGAATTGTTGCATTTACGGCATACTGACAGAATCTTGTTGCTATAGAACATACATGTGATATATGAATACGATAGAGAAAGAGGAAGAACAGGCATTTAATAGGTGAATATCGTAATTGAAAAGAAGAAGAGATTAAATTGATTTGAATTCCGACTCGGTCGAACCAGCAGCACTTGGCTTTTTATTTCGAGATCTTGATTCCGAACTGGTTGCGAGGAGTTGCGGAAACAGTGGCCAAAAGCTAATTTTTAAAAGTTAAAACCAAGACTCGGTTTTTAACGCTCTATATTAGCAAAAGAGTGACCATCAGTTGCGTATAAGAAATTTTCATAGATGGCGCCACTTTCGAAAAATCTGCTGTGAAACCTAGCGGTTATTATTGCACAGAATGTGCAGGGAAAAAGTACCAATTTTATTGCTGTTTTAAATATCTCATAAAATGGAAAATACAATTAACTGATCCAATTTTCTTATGAATTTTATTAAGTAGGCTTTTTACTACGTGTTCTGTAATGTGAACGATATCTAGTGGTTGGCGATGTCTTCTACATCTAGATGTAGTCCTGAGTGCCGGGTATAAAAGTTGTGACGCGTAAGAAGCGTCTCACACGTCCCTTCTCGTTTGTTTTGTGTTCGGGCGCTGCCTCTGTTGCGAGTCTGCAGAGTGTGGGTCTAGGGAAGGGCGGCGAGCTAACGGAGCGTGTTGGGGTGAGAATTGTTGTAGATGTAGATGTCAGAAGAAAATATTTAAAATTTGACAAAACACCGCTAAGGTACAGATGTAGTACTGAGTGCCGGGTATAAAAGTTGTGACGCGAAAGAAGCGTCTCACACGTCCCTTTTCGTTTAGCTTTCGAGTTTGGCATTTAATGTTTTAGCTGTTGACAACTTTGAGCTAACTTAGCAGAAGAGACTGTTCTCCACAAACAAAATCATCCGCGATTAAATTTATAAAAATGAGTGTCAAGAGAAATGTTATCCGCGTTATCCAGCTCTGCCACTGACATCAGATACGCCTTCTGAGAGGACGGCAAGGGAAACGTTTGCAAACAAATAGACACACTTATTACTTCTTTGGCCTGGTTTGGATATTATCTTGGATGCTTTTAGCTTTTGTCTTTAGCTTGTGCGAAAGTCTTCATGTCGGGATTTCCCTTTATATCGGTGTTCTGCCTTTAACTGTCATGCCCCAGTTTTTCTTCTTTTCGGTTCTCGTATGCGCACAAAAGACCAGCAACAGATAGAGCCCCTGGTGAGATGGATGTGGTACAAACGTCTCGCTAATAATTTAGCAGTTCCTCGTAGTTTAGAGGGGCAATACCTTAAAGTCTGGCGAATCCTGAGCAGTCATATTATCCGTGAGGCAAGATCTTAGTCTAATCTAATTTTCTTGCCTACAAATAAAATAAAACATTACAATTTTGACACACGATTTCATCAGGAAAAAGGCACACGGGTTTTCGTTCGCTCGAGCAAGAGCTTAAACAGTTAAACAAAAAGGAGGTGAGCATGCAACATGAAAATTAATCAGACAGACCAATAAGTTACCAAAGTAACCCAAACCCCTTGACACCGATCGGACCCGAGTCCTCTGGGAGGCATAGTCTTTAAGGGCTGTCTTGACGATTGCCCTGGTCATGTCTTGCAGCCACAACTTCAAATATAAAGTTGCTGGGCCTGGGAAAAACACCCTTTTGAGTCAGGCAAATGTACCAATAACAGTACCATAATAATTGTTCACGGCCGCTTCAACTCAGCATCGACATTGGGGAAAAATTCAAACGGCAAGTGTGTCGTGTTTACCTACCCCAATGACATCGAACGACGATAGCACAGCTCTCAGCTCCCTTATTTTTCGGTGCAGGGATAAACTGCTTACGTGCATGGAAGTCTTAAGCCACACTCGCCTCGCATTCAACCAACCAAAAAAGAAATCGTTTGGTTGCTCTTGCTTTTTTGTCTATGGCAGGCCTGTCATGTCACTATTCGTTGCTTGTACTCTTACGTCTTTTGGTTTGGGACACAAACGCACAACACATCGCTCTCTACATGCCGCAACACAGTAAGTTGTTTAACTTTTTGTTGTTATTGCGAACGCCGAAATATCTTCTGTCCCGTCGTAGCTTAGGCTTCTCAAGTTGTGGCTGCGTGGCGTCCTCACGACCTTTAATTTATTGACTAGTAGAACATTTAGCGTCCATTTTGTTTTGGCTTATAGCTAGGGGCGAAGGTTTATGCACGCGCTTACATATGTACATACACATATGTACATATATAAATACATAAAAACATACATACACCTTCACTTTGGGCATTGTTTTTACAGCTTTCCCTTCTTTCTCAACGATGCACCTAATAATACCCGGTACTCGAAGAGTAAATAGGGAGGTATTTGTGCTCAAAAGTGGGCGTATGTTTCCGACCCCATAAAGTGTATACATACTTATGTATATGTATGTACATATGTATCCTTGATCAGCATCAATAGGCGAGTCGACATAGCCATGTCTGTGTGTCCGCCCGTCTGTCCGTCTGGCCGTCTATCCGTCCGTCTTGATGAGTGCCTGTATGTCACAGACTATAAGAGGTATCGTCACCAAATCACACTGTTGCAAGTGTATTTCAAAATTTCTAAACTTATTTCTCTCATTTCGCTGGGAGAGGGAGAGTAGTACAGATGTACTACTGTGTACCGGGTAAAAAAGTTGTGACGTGTAAGATGCGTCTCACACGTCCCTCCTCGTTTTATTATTGTGCCAAGCTTTGGAAATCGAATGCGAAATGTGTCCATGTTCCTGGGCTTACGAATATGAGCTGGCAGTTCATCAAGTCAAGTAGCTAGCAGCCAAGCAGAGGTAGATCATATGAAACACGTTTTGCATTTGCGCCAAGTTAAAGTTGTCACGAAAAGTTTTTACTGAAATATCTATCGCCATTGTTTGCGGATGTAAAGATACCACAAATATATACTCAACAGACTTCAATCGACTTGACTCCCTGCAGAGGGATATCTTTATCTCACTGTAAGCTGGACGAAAATAGCTTATTGCTGAGCTGTTGTCACACGAGAAAATGGCTGACTAGAGCTTCCCAACAACTCGGCAACATGACAGAAAGTGGGATTTCATTTTCATTCCGTACACTTCCTTGTACATAATCAATTACATTGCGTAAGATTACAAAGCGTTGGTCACAAAATTGTTTGTAAAGATTGATGTGTTGTCACACTAAATCACCTTCGTTTCAAAATTTGTCCACTCCCTTTTCTGCCCCGACAAAAATTAGATCAGTTCATTATTATAGCCAGAATGAAAAAAAAAATTGTCGGGGCTACAGGCTAAAAAGACGAGATGGTGGGAGGAGTGATGTAGATTTAGGTTACAACTACATTAATGTATGTACATGTATACTAAATCAGTATCGAGTCAAAAAGTAGTGACGGATTTGAACATGATTCACGAGGTTTCTTTTCATCTTGTTTTATATTTCAGACCGTGCTAATCACAGTGACCCCACAATTGAAATCTGTCGCCGTTGTCCTCCCGACTACGAAGGCGAATCGTTACCTTCCTACACTATAGTCTCCGGACTTCCCACCTACGACGATGCTTTGGAGGAGTTCCGAAAGGCAGGAATCCTACTAACTCCGTCTGTCGTGCCTATCATCAAAATATTTGAGTGCATCGACAATGGCGCCGGCAAGGAGCAGGCCGTGGGATACAGCCTGGTGGAGACAAACGCCAACGGCGATACTGGTGTGGACAACAACACGCTGAACTCGGCCACCTGTAATTGTGGCACCTCAACGCTGCCCAGCTATAGTGCTGCCACAGCGACCGCCATGGCCTTGGCAGCAGCTGCTGTTCCTCAGGTCATCGAACTGTCACCAGACCACCTGGCCTCGCTCTCACAGAAGCGTCTCTCGCTGCAAATCTCATTTAATAATTCGATAAGACGACAATCCACACGATCAGGTGCCGCCTTGCGAAACAATTTGCTGCGATCCCGAGCCGTGGGCAATACGGCGGGAGTGGGTCCCATCGAAACCCCTGTTACTGTGGCATCTGTTCAAGGACGTGAGAACGTACCACAAATTGGGCCCGCTTTGTATCGCTCCACTTCTACTTTGTCGCTGTCGCATGAGCGCCAGTTGCTCGATCATCGCTTACAGCATTTGCATCATCGCGGCTCGTTGTACTGATTGTGGCATCAAAGCATTAATTTCTTACAAATTTATTCCTTACACTTTTTCAATGTTCATAAATCTATGCCATAGAAACAATAAAACAAAAAATCCCTATTTTATGGAGGTACTTTAATAACCAATGGCAAACTTGTTATAGCTTTTGACTCTAACTATTGATATTGATAGATAGAGCTGTCGGTAAATGTTACAGCATGATCAGCTTAAATATGGCGTATTAAAAAAGCTTATTTACAAATTTGTGCAAGAAGGAATTCAATGAATAGCGTACAAAGAGACTGATTGACGTCCGTGTAGACCGTATTGTCATAGTAACAATACACTCTTTTTATGGAGTAGCTTGTTTATTTCCAATAATGAGCGCTACAACACGGACGGGTCTCGTTCCGACCCCCAACAGACATGTACAATTTCTAAAAAGGGTAAGACAATTCTGCAGCGTTCAGTGCCGGTCGATCCGCAACTACTTTATTAACAGCGTAAGAATTATCATGCTGATGAATCACGGATGCCTAAATTTGAAGCGTTTCCTATGCCACTTTCACTGCGTCCCTTCGGCGGGCTGTTCAATCCATTTCCCAAGGGCTGTTCCGTCCTGTGCAACCATCCAGCACCATCCGGTGTAAAGGATGTCATAAATCAATTCAAAACAGCTCTGGCCATCGAAGGGAAAAATCACCAGAGTCGCATCGATAAGCCAAGGAAAGTGTCTAATGAAAAAAAGATAGAGCCGCATGAAACGGATAACATCCCCGAAGACCTGTTCCGGCGTTATGCTGTGACGGACTCCCGCCCAATGACGCCAACTACAACGATGACCAGTACCCACACAAGGACCAGTGCCGGTTCCTTTTACCGTCGTTGCATCACTCCCGAATGGGGAAAGCACGAGAACATCAAGAGGAAAAAAATCATATTGGATCTCAGACGATCACACTCCCAAGAAACACTTTACTGGAAGCCCAGCTCCGAGCTTACCCAGAGCGGATTGGAGGAGGATAAAAAGCCTAGAAGTGCTGGGGCTAATGCCAATGGCAATGGGAACATGAAGCCCAGGAGACAGCAGTCTAATGAGCAGCGAACTAAGTCCTCTTTTGCCACTGCCAACGTAGCTCCCGGAGGGGACCCCATGGGTAGGCTGGACGGCGAGATCAGGACCTGTATCAATGAACACGAATTAAGCGATGATGATGTGCGCAGGGGAAAAAAACGTAAAAAGTTAAAGCCTTCTCAAGGTACGTGTCCAGTATGGAAATCAGTCTATGAAATTTGTAGAACTTACCTATTTGCAGCCACCACCACCTTTCACTTGAACGAGGATCCGGAGACACAAGTAGCAGCTCTGGGACCAGATTCGCTCAATCCCAGCACTAGACCCAGTCTGATACCCAATTCGGTCAATCTGCTGATGAAGGATAAAAGAGAGAGTGAGCAGGGCCCGATTATATTGAAGGGAAGTTTTCTCACAGATGAAGCCTTTCAGACCTTGAAAACCGATTTGGATGTAGATTTGATAGAGAATACTTTTGGCAGATACGTATGTAGATACATAAATACAATGTGGATTTTATTTTTATTATTTTTTTTTTATAGCTCAATCGTGCTCTCAGAGAAGCCATAAAGTATATGCCCCCCAAACACAAGATGGTTCAAAAGGCCACTGACGATAATCACTCCACTGAAAGTACGTCCAAGATGCCACGCAAGTTCTCAAAATCAGCCACAAGGTTTGATGTGCCCATGGATCTATCCAAGATAAGCGGTAGGTTAGAGATACATACCTTTGAATCAAACTCCATCTAACTTGAGCCTTTTGCAGCGATGACTCCATGGGATTACTTGAGCAAATATGTGTGGGTCTCCCAACAGCGGAAGCAGCTCTACAAGCGCGTCTTTCTTAAATATTTGAGGCGTTGCGAAGAGCCAGAGATCAACCGGAATGTCATGGGCATTGATAAGCTGGCTCTGACGGAATATAGGTATAAGGAGCGCACACTGCTTTGGCAGAGCTTGCCCAAAGCTCTTGAGGATGTTCTAGAATTTCACGGCACCGAGCAAAATGTCTGTAATACACTCAATATGCTGGGGTATGATCAGAAAGAAAATGTTGACTTGGACTTTCGAGCCTGGTGCGGCATTGTTTCTTTTGCTGAACGATTGGCGCTGGCCGATGAGTCAGGATCGGATGATTCATGCGACGAATTGGAAAAGGCGGACTTTACCAGTATGGAACAGATAGTGAACCTATTCAATGTGCCAGAAAAATTGGTTCAAATATTTAGAGTAATTCGCAAATCGCATAATAACAAATATTAAATTTACCGGTCGGAAAGTGCCAGCCGCTTTATAATGCTCGATTGATCGATTGATGCTACAATGAAGAAAAATGTAATCACATTAACGCGGTGGAACAAATACCAATTACATGGATATAAATGGAATAAATGATTAGTGTAATAATGGTACTCATTTTATTAATTTATAAGTTGATAAAAAACATGGTGACTACAATTGCTGAAATTTGTTCCGGAGAATCTTCAACGACATCAAACGCGCACAAATAATACATTTTCTGCTGATCACATTTGTGACCGTACACTTTTGCGACTTTTTCCGACTCTCACTGAGTCCAGAGACAACAAACTCCACTATGTATCGCATTTATTTATATGTATTTTTAGTAAAGTAAACTAAAGTATAGTATTTTTAGTAAGCCCAGAACTAAGACACGCAAAATATTATTTTGCTCTGTGCCCAGTGTAACCAAAGTAGACAAAGTGCATTCTATGGGTAAACTGTTTTGTGTTTGCTTAGTGCTAGTACTCAGATCGAAAAAAAATATATTGCACATTTTGCCAGCAGCAGAGGGTGACCAAAGGTGAAAACTGCATTCCGTACGGTTACACTTCTCAGGCAGCTGTGTTGTTTTGTTTACCTTTTTGAAAATGTGTAAAAATTGAATAAGAGGTTAATAAAACAATGAATGCAAAATGGATCCATGCAGGAAATTACTTTTAGTGGGATAGGCGGCTCTTGCATTACCGGAGGAGCAGAACACTCAACGAAATAAGCCACGACAACTTTGATTAATCCCATATCTGCAGGAAAGAAACCAGGAGCGTCGTTTGTGCATATGTACATGTGAAAGGCCACAGTAATCTTTAAGTTTACTGGATTAATGAAGTTGCAAGGTCGTGACAGGGAATATTTGCGCCCGTGCCAAAGTTGTAAAACGGAGCCTTCAAGCACCCTTCCTATTCCAAATTTAATAGTTTCGAGTTCACATCGTCGCCATCGCCCCTTGGGACGACCCTGTGGAGCAGAACTTGGTCCCAAAAGGAAAACATCTCAAAACATTTGGTAACAGCGCAGTCGGGTCTGCGTCTTGGCCACATGAAGTACCTGGCGTTCAAATAAGTTAGACAAACTAAAAATGCAAATAATTTCAATATAATTTCATTAATCTATACTAATTTCATCTTTTTTGACGTTGATGGCCTCAAGCTCGTTGAGAAGCACGGTGGTCATTTATCTTTGGGGGTTCGGGCTTGCGCTCCCAGACTGCCAGAATATTTAGGGCTTCAGGACTCGAAATATACTAAAATTATAAAGAAATCCTGAACTATTTCAGCATTTGGCGGAATATTAAGGGTTTGGATGGTTGGTCAACCAAATATACTACATCTTACTCTTCATAGATACTTATGAGATATACGTTTTCCTGAGTTTTTAAAGTCAAAGATTCGAAAAAAATTCCGGAAAAAAATCACCACTTTTGCATTCTAAATACTAATATATCATCGTCATATATCAGACGGTAAGCTACAACCACAAAATGTTTGGGTACACTTTATAGATGCATTTATTATGCTTTATTATTATATTTATTTAGAATGACAAAGTTCAAAAATAAGATTTAAAAAGAGTTAAAAAATTTCATCAGCCCATTTTGAGACCCTCTGTCTTTCAGACACAGTTGGTTTGGTTCCTTAAGGAAAAATCATGTGTTATTTTTTTCAGCTGCAACTACCAGCGCCACTACATAATACATAATGCAATTCATTAATAAAGAGTATAAAAAGTAGGGGGTAACCATAGCAGGTAAAGATAAGGAGTTTTTGAAGAGGATTCTTTGAGACCTAGAAATCCATCTCAAAAGATTAGGTGGAGTCTCTAGAAGGTCAACCTTTGGTGCTATAGGTGAGTGGTGCATAGAGTCGAATGCTCTACTGAAATGAGTGTAAATAACATCCGTCTGGTAGTTACCTTGGAAACCTTTACTGAACTACTAATCGTACTGTAAAAGATTTGTGATTGTATAAATCTGTGCTAAGCTAGAGACAAGTGATTTGCAGAGATATTGTAAGTGCCGAGGTAACATTTTCTCAATCATTTCAGGAATAGCGGATATTTTGATTTACCTTTATTGTTCTCTTCGTCAGACTCCCTTTTTATATGGAGAGGAAATATACAAAATTCCTGCTAGATGGCGACCTTGGTAAACTGTATGGATAAGGATGACCAGAGCAGGTTGAATTGCTGAATGAATTGCTTGGAAAACTGTGGCAAAAAGATAGGCAATTGTCTGATCATTGTTTGATCAGGGACAAACGAATCAAAAAGTGTGTAAAAAGTAGTTGTGCCTTTAAAATTGACAGTACAAAATTGCAGAGCGAACCATTAAAAATTCTGAAATCCTTCATAATCGAAGCGGCCCCGTTAAGATACCCTACCTTCCCGAACCGATTCGGTATGCTTTTTAGTCGTTAAATAATTTTTAAAAGCGGACAAGTGCTCCTCGTATTTTTAGCATCCGAATTAGGTGGAATTACGAGAAAGTGACAAAAATAGAGTACACAAAGGAATTGCAGGTCTTGTGAAACCTGGTCTGTGAAGTGTAAGTCCATTGCAATCAGGACCCCTCCCACGTCGATCTAAACGATCATTCCTATAAATTGTGTACCGATCTTCCAATACTTCGAAACTGGCCATGTTCGAAATGTGCTCAGAAAACTTTAACTGGGGGTGTAGTTTAACACCAAGATCATCAACCAATGTAATTCTCTCAAGAAACCTACCGCAGAGGGTGTAAGGAGCCAGTAAGGTGCTGGAGCGATGAAATGTCACTTCTTTGCATTTATAGGCATTAAGGTTAACATATTTGCACAAGTCCATTAATGAAAGTTATTGAAATCTGATTGCAAGCGAAAGTGAAATGAAATTCCCGTATACTGGCCACAAAGCTTAGCATCATCCGCACACATAAGTACTTGAGAGTTTGTTAATACAGAAAGCAGGTCTTTAAAAAAGAATGTCAAAAGTAGGGGGCCCAGATGGCTACACTGTAATACTCCAGAAGTAACCATAACAGGTAAAGATAAGGAGTTTTTGGAGGGGAATCCTTAAGATTTAGAACAAAGGTAGCTAGAAATCCATCTCAAAAGACTTGGGATTTGGTGGAATCTGTAGAAGGTCAAGGTTTTGTGCAAAAAGAGAGTGGTTTTCAGAATCAAATGCCTTACTGAAATGAGTGTAAATAACATCCGTTTGCTAGTTGCCTTGGAAGTCTTTAATGGCAAAAGAGCTGAACTCTAGAGGGAACTGGAGATGTAGGTGATTTGCAGAGATGTTGCAAGTGCAGAGGTAAAATTTTCTCANATCATTCCTATAAATTGTGTACCGATCTTCCAATACTTCGAAACTGGCCATGTTCGAAATGTGCTCAGAAAACTTTAACTGGGGGTGTAGTTTAACACCAAGATCATCAACCAATGTAATTCTCTCAAGAAACCTACCGCAGAGGGTGTAAGGAGCCAGTAAGGTGCTGGAGCGATGAAATGTCACTTCTTTGCATTTATAGGCATTAAGGTTAACATATTTGCACAAGTCCATTAATGAAAGTTATTGAAATCTGATTGCAAGCGAAAGTGAAATGAAATTCCCGTATACTGGCCACAAAGCTTAGCATCATCCGCACACATAAGTACTTGAGAGTTTGTTAATACAGAAAGCAGGTCTTTAAAAAAGAATGTCAAAAGTAGGGGGCCCAGATGGCTACACTGTAATACTCCAGAAGTAACCATAACAGGTAAAGATAAGGAGTTTTTGGAGGGGAATCCTTAAGATTTAGAACAAAGGTAGCTAGAAATCCATCTCAAAAGACTTGGGATTTGGTGGAATCTGTAGAAGGTCAAGGTTTTGTGCAAAAAGAGAGTGGTTTTCAGAATCAAATGCCTTACTGAAATGAGTGTAAATAACATCCGTTTGCTAGTTGCCTTGGAAGTCTTTAATGGCAAAAGAGCTGAACTCTAGAGGGAACTGGAGATGTAGGTGATTTGCAGAGATGTTGCAAGTGCAGAGGTAAAATTTTCTCAAAGTTCTCATTTTTCTCAAGTTCAGCGGATAACTTACCTCCATAGTTTTTTGCGCCAGATTTGCTGCCTTTCTCATGGAAAGTAATTATAAAAGATTTCTTTCCGATGTGGGGAATGGAGAATGGATGGATAAATAGTTGAATAGTTTGGCCAAGGGTCCACACAAAGACTCGGCTCATTACACAGCCGGGAACTCCGTCAGGTCCCAAAAAAAATACCGACTTAACTAATCGAAGGTCATTAAGCTGGGAGCTTTGATTTAACAAACTGCTGAAAATGCCGTTCGACGTTGTTAAACTGTATGGACACACATGACCAGGGTGGCTTTCTTGGGAATCAAGATAAGTTGTTTGAAATAATTGTGCAAAAAGATCGGCAATTGCCTGATCATTGTTTGCCGACGTATTTAGAAATGATAGCAAGGAGGGATGTACGGACGTTCTACGCTTACTTTTAAAAAGCTTCAAAACTGTTTAGGGTCTGTAAGGGGCACCTCGGAACCTTCTACCAGCTTCAGTGAGAAGACCAGTTATCGCACTCTTTAGTGCAGATGTAAACGGCTGATCGACATCAATAAAGAGTATGAAAAGTAGGGGGCCCAGTTGGCACTGTGGTGTTTGTTGTGTTTGAAATAATTGTGCAAAAAGATCGGCAATTGCCTGATCATTGTTTACCGACGTATTTAGAAATGCTAGCAAGGAGGGATGTGCGGACGTTCTACGCTTACTTTTAAAAAGCTTCAAAACTGTTTAGGGTCTGTAAGGGGCACCTTGGAACCTTCTACCAGCTTCAGTGAGAAGACCAGTTATCGCACTCTTTAGTGCAGATTTAAACGGCTGATCGACATCAATAAAGAGTATGAAAAGTAGGGGGCCCAGTTGGCACTGTGGTGTTTGTTGTGTTTGAAATAATTGTGCAAAAAGATCGGCAATTGCCTGATCATTGTTTACCGACGTATTTAGAAATGATAGCAAGGAGGGATGTGCGGACGTTCTACGCTTACTTTTAAAAAGCTTCAAAACTCTTTAGGGTCTGTAAGGGGCACCTCGGAACCTTCTACCAGCCTCAGTGAGAAGACCAGTTATCGCACTCTTTAGTGCAGATTTAAACGGCTGATCGACATAAATAAAGAGTATGAAAAGTAGGGGGCCCAGTTGGCACTGTGGTGTGTTGTGTTTGAAATAATTGTGCAAAAAGATCGGCAATTGCCTGATCATTGTTTACCGACGTATTTAGAAAAGATAGCAAGGAGGGATGTGCGGACGTTCTACGCTTACTTTTAAAAAGCTTCAAAACTCTGTAGGGTCTGTAAGGGGCACCTTGGAACCTTCTACCAGCTTCAGTGAGAAGACCAGTTATCGCACTCTTTAGTGCAGATGTAAACGGCTGATCGACATCAATAAAGAGTATGAAAAGTAGGGGGCCCAGTTGGCACTGTGGTGTTTGTTGTGTTTGAAATAATTGTGCAAAAAGATCGGCAATTTCCTGATCATTGTTTACCGACGTATTTAGAAATGATAGCAAGGAGGGATGTGCGGAC